GCAACACCACACAAAGTGGGCAGAAGCCAGAGATTGTTGAAAACAACTCGAAAGTAAGTAAAATACTGATAGCAAATAGTGTCCATTAATCTCGGTATGCGCTATTAAAGCGGTTGTTAATTTTGATTTCTGAATAAAGAGTCATTGCTTGTTTGACTTGTTAATGCGGACACAGCCTTCGTGCCTCAAGACAGAGTGCTGGAAGTTTGTAATAGCGCATACCGAAATTATGAAACATTATTTACTATCAGTGTTTTACTTACTTCTCGAGTTGTTTCCAACAATCTCCGGCTTCTGCCCACTTTGTGTGGCCTTGCACACTTCACAGTATAACTCCCGGGTAAAACAAAAAAACAACTTCCGTTGCAGCCGTTGTGTTGTGTTGTGGCTTATTTTGTAGTGTTGTGGTTAATTTTGTAGTGTTGTTGTAGTGTCCTCGTGCAGTGTGTTGAAACTCTGACTAAACACCAAGTTAAACCGAAGCCAATGAAGACAGAGTCGTAGCAAGATTGACCATTTACTGTCACACTTCTTCATTAACATGTCGGTGAAAAGGCATTGCATCTACGATGAGTTCTAGCAGATGGCAGCGGATTACATTCACAACATGCTCAACATGTCCTGCTTTGCTTTCTGAAGAACCAGGAAGAGAAATAACACAGGAAGTGACCAAACAGGATGTGATGTCATCAAATGAACCGTTATCAGAATAGAAATCTCTTTTACGAACTATTTTAACCTTGAGCAGTTAGTAACAAATTCTTTAAGTACAATTAGTAAAAGTAAATTATTTAAAGGGCACAGTCTGTGAAAAATTAAACAATGCCTTAGTGGCAGCACAGTTGTGGTTTATTTTGTAGCATTGTGGCTTATTTTGTTGTGTTGTGGCTTTTGTTTTGTTGTGACACTTCTGGGCCACCGTACTACAGTGTGTTTTAGAACTGCTTTTCCATCCATGTGTCTTCTATGGACACAACCAGTTTTAGCCCCGTTGTTGTTCCAGATGGCGTTTTTGTTCAGGCTCCTATTCAGATCCAACTTGAGCTTTATTTCTGCATCTGCTCAGTCTAAAAGAGACACTGGACATTTTCTTGCCTTCTCTTCCTTTTGCTCTTTGTTTGTTAACAGCTTGGAGAATCACCGATTGCGACACGGCGATCACTCGCTGACGTCTTCTGCCTCTCCGGCAGCAGTCGGACAATAGACGCCTTATGAGCCGTCGCACATGCTTCACATGCCGCAGAGCCGTGGTGAGCGCTGGCAAAATGTTGGCGTTATTTGTTTTTTGTTTCAGTATTCAGTGCTTGTGACGGAGGCCTCCTACAGTCGGATGACCTCTCTGCTCTCATGTGTGGCCAAACAGCAAAACCATGAATTCAAGCGTAACATAAAGTGTTCTAAATACATGATATACAAACAAACCATGATGTGGATGTGATTTTGAAGCAGGGTATTTTCAGACTGGCCTTAGTATTTTGGACTTTGGTTAGCAGACCTGTCTTCTGAGCTGCTTTTGATTTTGTGATTCTAGGAAATGTTCAATACAAAACTATTACAGCATAGACATATATTTGGCTCCTGTCACATTTTTACTCACTGTGGACTCGTTTTTCACTACAATATAAAATCCTGCACCTTTTTAGAAATAGCACAACCATGGCCAGAAGTAGAGGAAATTAAACATGTATTCTGAGCAGAATAGCAAAGTTATAATACCACAAATAGAAATAAAGAGGAAAAAATTTTAACATTTATATTAAAATTATTTTATATTTATTTAAATATATATTTGAGGTGAGAGAGGAGCACAGAATTATTATTATTATTATTCCATCCATCCATCCATCCATCCATCCATTATCTATACACCGCTTAATCCTCACTAGGGTCATGGGGGGCTGGAGTCTGGAGCTGACTCAGATCAAAGGCAGGTCTGTCTATCTAGAGACAACCAAGCACACTCACATTCACACCTACAGACAATTTAGAATCACCAACTAACCTCAGCATGTTTTTGGACCTAGTGGGAGGAAGCCGGAGAACCTGGAGAGAACCCACGCTCCAAACTCCACGCAGAAAGATCTCAGGTGTCCTCACCGGGACGTTAACCAGGGACTTTCTTGCTGTGAGGTAACAGTGCTAACCACCGGGCCACCTTGCAGCCCTACTATTATTTATTTATTTATTCTCCCCCCACAGAATCTGTTTTGTGCAAAAGCTTTGTTTTTCGGCTCCTGTGACAACATTTTAAACGAGACACGTAGAATAAAGTGATTTCAATGAACTGTCATGATTTTAAGTACAGATGATGTTAATTTCCCGACACAAGGACAAGTCACAGATGAGTTCAAGGACCACGGAAAAGCTGAAAATCTGAGTTTTTTGCTCTGATAAATTGTATTATTTTGGTAATTTCTAAAAAAAAAAAAAAAATTCCATTCAAACCCACTGGTGGGGATTGGGGTGAATCATCAAATAATGTGTCAGTTATATATCCTATTATTTATCTATTTGTTATATTGATCAATAAATATGCTCTCAATCGAATATCAAAACGCAGAGAAGAATGCACAACTTAATCACACATGAAATGAACTTTAAATGTCTTGGTTTGCCTAAAAACAAACCACAAATCAGAGGTGTTCAGTTTATGAACCATTTAAAAACCAAAGCAGCTCATCTACCGCAGAATGTAGAAACCACAAAGTTATTACATGTGTGCTTGATAAATGACTTCAGAGCCTAATTGATTTTCAAAATGTCTTATTAAATTTTTGATTGACTGACAAATCAATCAACGTCTGAACATCGACGGGAAATAAAGTCTTCTTTTTTTTTAAAGCCACACCTAAGGTGACTTGGTCGTAAAATCTCATTTGCAGTGGAGATGACTCATCCTGCTAATTAAAACAGAGCTCCAGCTGACTTTTCTAATAAAGGGGGGCATGAAATTCTATGCATATCACAGAATAATTAACAAAGCTGAGATTTTTCAGCACTCTTTATAATAGTTGCTCACCACGGAGGCGTTTAGTATGTGAGAAGAACAGAGGGCAGTTCCCTGAATACATCATCCATGACCCATTCTGTATGAAAAGCGTTGATGAGGGATTAAAATCATGTTGTACATCCAGTCATACTGTGTGTGAAACTGGCTGCAAATATGATAGTTTTGCTATGTTTTACTTGCATTTCACAGTAAAATATCTTTGTGATTCTTATATCCGTTTGTCCTTGCTTTGATGTATTTATTCGTTTTACATCCTAAAACCTAGATTGGCCTTAATAAGGTCTCGTTAATCAGCGCTAAAGAAGAAACCGAGGGTGTGAAGATGTGAGAAACCTCCTCGAGTTGTTATGAGGAGCAGCTTCACCGCTGACAGCCTCCCCCCCTCCTGCTCTGATATAAGGTTCACAGGCCATATGTCCCGGTCTCGCCTCAGACACACAAACACACACTGAACACACACACAGAACTCACACTCACACATACGTATCTCATGCATATCACCCACAGGTCTCCAGAATAGATCACCAGATGGTGCGAGGAACACGGCACATTTTGACTCCTCAGACAGATGACTTCCGTGTTTCCGAGGAGTTTTCTGAGGTTTTACATCGCAGTTGAAACCAGAAGTTTACGGATACTGTATAAAGAGACATAAAACTTTTTTTTTTTTTCACTATCTGACATTAAAACAGACTAAACTTCTCCTGTTTTAGGTCAGTTACGATTACCAAAATGATTTATATTTGCTAAATGTCAATAATGACAGAGAATTTTTTTACTACTTTCTTTAAAGTCAGAAGTTTACATACATGTCCTTAGTATTTGGTAGCGTTGCCTTTAGACTGTATGACTTGGGTCAAACATTTTGGCTTTCCTTCCACAAGCTTCTCACAATAGTTTGGTAGGATTCTGGTCCATTCCTCCAACAGAACTGATGTAACTGAGTCAGGTTTGTAAGCTGCCTCGCAATTTTGGTCATCCTAATGGTAAATGGTAAATGGTAAATGGTCTGCACTTATATAGCGCTTTTCTAGCGTTGCGGCACTCAAAGCGCTTTACAATGTTTCTCATTCACCCATTCACACACATTCATACACCAATGGTGACAGAGCTGCCATGCAAGGTGCTGCCTGCCATTGGGAGCAACTTCGGGTTTAGTGTCTTGCCCAAGGACACTTCGACTGTGGAGGGGCGGGGGGTCGAACCGCCAACCTTGCGATTAGAGGACAACCCGCTCTACCACCTGAGCCACAGCCGTGAGGGTTATGGATTGTGTTTATTGTGTTTTTGGTTGTTCCTGCTGTTTCTCTGTGTTTTGGTTGGCGTGCCTTTTTTTCCTGCAGGCTGGGCGGGGCCAATCGGAGGAGGACGCTCTCGCGCTGGCACAGCTGCGGCTCATCTGCTCATCAGTGGATTGCCTAAAAGCGACGGTTTCACAGGACTCCAGCGCCAGATGATTATGATACACCGCTAGTGGTACAGTCAGGCCGTTTAGCAGTAGCTCCAAGTTTTGAGTCTCCTGCTAAGCTAGTTTCGAGTTTCAAGTAATTCTATGTTCTCTCTGTGTTTTCTCCACCGTCCTCTCCGCCGGCTCCAGCGTCCAGCCATCCATTCTGCACGCCAGCTTCCACTGCCAGGAAGTCACGAGCCGGGATCTCACACGTCACGGGCACCTACATCAGAAAAACCTCCACATGAGCACCGTCCCCTGAGCACCGCCACTGGGAAACCTCCACACGGACTCCTTCTCCTGAGCACAGTCACGGAAAAACCCTCCGCATGGGGATTCCTGCACGGGGAACTCACCACACGACCCACCGGCACTGAAGACCTCCCTCGGCACCACCACAACAAACCAACACTGGATTCTCCACCTGCCTCCTGGTGCCCATCACTTCCCTACCCTCCTTTAATAAAACCTGTTTTTCTTTATCCATTCCCCGTCTCCTCTTCATTTGGTTCCACAAGTACACTCGGTGGCCACGGGCCGTCGCACCTAGCTGACCTAAAACAGGAAAAGTTTAGTTTTGATTTAATGTCAGATAGTGAGAAAAAAAGTTCCATGTCTTTTTATACGGTGTATGTAAACTTCTGGCTTCAGCTGTAGGTTCAGATTCTGTGGAGGCTTGAAACTCTTAGAAGGTTTCTTCAATATTTTTACAGTTTCTTTGTATTAACCTCGATTAAGGAAAAGGCAGACAGAAAATAGGATATTGGAAGATGTTTACTCGACTAATTAGTATAAATATACTTGAAACATATTCAACTAAATTGAGCTTTATTGTCTTTATGGCAAGTACAAGATGTGTCAGAAAAGTTCCAGGACTGGAGTCATAAAAGATGTATTTGAAACCCAAAAGTTTTCCCCTTCAGACGATCAACCAGCACAAAGTCTACAAAGAGGTCCTGCAGCGTTTGCTTCGTTCAGAAGAGGCAAGAGTTGTGGTAGTCGTGGCTGCTTCACCATGACAACGCGCCTGTTCACAACGCCCTGAGCATCCAACAGTTCCTGCCTGTTGGAGCAACCTCTCTACTCACCCCAGCTGGCTCTGTGGGATTGTTTCCTCTTCTCCAAGCTCAAGGGGGTCATCAAGGGGACCCGTTTGAAGACGTGGACGACATCAAGATGGCTGTGACGACGGAGCTGTGGAGGATCCTTAAAGAGTCCTTCCAGGAGTGCATGGCGGTGTGACAGAGGAGGCTGGAGAAGTGTGTTAGACTCCAGGGGGATTACTTTGAAGGGGAAAACTTGTAGTTTGGATTTGAAATCTATCTTTTGTGACACCAGTCCTGGAACTTTTCTGACACACTTTGCATATAACCCTGTCTTATTGATTTCCTTCTGAAGCTCAGCAAACCAACAGTTTGAAGAAGCGAGCAGGATGTATTAAACGGGATCTTAAGCTGTTCAACAGGGCAGCAATGCAATAAGTTAACTCATACGCTTGTATGCAACCACACATCCTCATCTCTGTGGTCAGGATGCCACAAAGACAATTAGCTCTGTGTTTCCTTCTAACAACAATGACTTGCATCTCAATGCCGTCGCTTGTTAATGTCATAAAGCCTCATCCCCGGAGGTTTCCTTTTTGTTTTGTTTTTTTACCTAAGTGAAATTTAATCAACTAATTTATCCATTACACTCTGTCAAAAGTCTCATCCAACCTGACGCCACTCTGTTCGACAAAATATTGGGCTAATTAAATTAAACAAATGGATGAAGCTCATTATACTAATTGAATCAAATTAAGTTGAAGGAGATAAACAGCACTAAAGTTTTAAAATATACGCTTTTCTTTTTTTAATTTGTTAAACTACTTTGGATGAAGGGTTTTTTTCTATCTTGTAAACAAAGATGGCTTTGTTTGCATTCTGAGCAAAATATCATTACCATCTATAAAGAGCACGGCTGCTGCTGCTGAGTTGCTGGTAAAGACCCAACAATCTTGTTTGAATACCTCATTAAATATTTTACATGATTTGTTTACATCAGCTTGCAGTTTTCTCATTTTTTATTTTTTTTGGCACTTTGCTGCCTTTTAAGCAGCATTATCTTCACTTAGCAGGAGTAAACAGTATTTTTCTTTTCTTGGCATCACTGGTTCAAAATTACATAACAAACTTTAAGCATGTTGTAATTCAAGCAGCCTGTGAGGACATTAGAGCTGTGCACTTTATTTTGGCTCCGTTTTAAGGCTTTAGAAAGTATTGTGACGGCAGACTTTAGCCAATCGCCTCACTTAGATCATGTAAAGGAGTGTGAAGAGCATCAAGGAGCATCATGGGAGGGAAGAGCTCCAGCAGGAGGGCTGCATCTTCATTTGTTTTGAGTTTGTCTTTTCCAAATTTCTGCCTACCTCTGTTTAAATGTGGCGAGACAAAAAAATAAACTAACAAAAGGTCAACATGCTGCCTTTTCTTCCATTTGGCAGATACAGTCGTCGCAGATTTATTCATACCCTCCCATTAAAAAAGAAAAAGCAACAGCTGTCACTGAAATAAGTTGAAATTGACAAAAGTAATTTAAAAAAAAAACAAAAAAACAAAATCATGACATTACTTTTGAATTGTGGTTCAACAGGAATATTTTAAAAACAAACAAACAAAACAAGCAAACAAGAATACTGGGACCCGTAAAGTAATATTTTGTTGACCAATCACTGCAATCAGGTGTTTTCTGTAACTCTCAGTCAGACTTCTGCACCTGTTGGCAGGTATTTAGATTTTGGTCCACTGCTCATCAGCAAAGGGCTCTAATTTGCCTGGGACAGTTTTATTTATTTAATTTTTAATTATTCTTTTCAACCACAATTCAAAAGCAATGTCTTATTTCACTAAATTATAATTTAGCAAATTTTTATTTATTACTACTTTTTTCAGTTTCTAGTTATTTGAGTGACTGTTGTGAATTTTGCCTTTTCTTTAATGGAAGGGAATGAATACATTAGAGGTCGACTGTATGAACTGTGCAGTCTTGCCTCCCAGAAGCTACGCTCCTTTACAGCTAAACTGCGGTGTCGGTGACGTATCACAAATATGTTTCTATCTTTGCCTTTTATTTTATTGCTTTACTGTCGCTTGTTTTCAGCCAAGCAGTCACCATGGCGACCAAGGAAATGGAAGAGAAACTTCAAACGGGTTGCCCTTTAACCCGAACCATGACAACGTAGCCGAGCTTGTCAAGTAGTTATCATTGTGAAAGTGTCACAAATGTGTGATATTTTCCTAAGCATGTAGTTTTAGTGCTCATAACCAGTGAATTAAAATGAAATTCAAGTCTAAGGAAGAATAACGGTCCCACATGTGAAACCTCATGTTGCTGATTCATGCCACCGTTCTGCTAAAGTGGACTTTTGGGTTCCGTCAAACTGAAGCCTGTCCTTCTATGTCCTAGTCTCAAATTTTAAAGTGAAAATACATTTCTTTCAAAATGCAAATGACAGCGCAGTTTAGTTGTTTAGCAGCATCATTTCTGGGAGACGGAGTTCGGGCTGTGGGTAAGAAGGTCGGAAAGCATTGTCAGTGATCAACACCAATATGGAGGCACGAAACTCTACAGAGATGTTCCCACAAT